TTTCTGGTGTACTTCATTTTCCTTCCTAGAAGGGAGAAGACAGGAGTGGGAAGCTGAGGACCATGATTGTTTGTTGCAAGTAGATCTGGTGACAAAGGTGAGGGAGGATCTGGAAGAAACTCCTTTGAAGGAAGGAGAGAGATGGTTTGTGGATGGATCAAGCAGGGTTGAGGAAGGAAAGAGAAAATCAGGATTTGCAGTCATGACAGGAGAAGGGGAGGTCATAGAAAAGGGCTCCCTTCCTTCATGGTCTGCGCAGAAATGTGAGTTGTTAGGATTGGAAACCTGAGGAAAAAGAGAAAGATGAGTTGGAAAAAGAAGGATGAGAAGGGGTGAAGGTGGTTTCTGTGAATGCAATGAGGGGAATTCTGGAAAAGGTATATGTTTGAAAGTAAACAAGAAAGCAGCAAGGAAAAAAGAAATGGGAGGGCGACCCCTAGTGGGCTGGCCTTTCCAGAGAACACAGATTGATTTCACCGAATTACCAGAGAAAGGGAGGGGCAATACCAGCCCATTGCTTTTCTGAGCAAAACTCTGGAACCGGTGGTGAGAGGATGGCCGGTGTGTGTGCACACTGTGGCTGCTACAGCTATGTTGGTGGTAGAGTGTACTTCATTTTCCTTCCTGAAAGCCGTTCTTGCAAAAGGAGGTTTACTAACTCCATACGCATATCTGGGCTATAAAATGCTTTCAACTACTGCCTATACTTCACTTCCCTCTCTGTCTCTACCTTCTCAACCCACTCTGGTTCACCTTCAGCAATATCTGGGTACCATAAACTGGGCCCGACCTTTCCTGTCTTTAATTACAGATATTCTTTCTCCATTGTTTGAAGCCCTTACTTGGGGGAAAAAGCCTGCTGACATAATATCCTTGCAGCAACCTCAGCTTCAAGCAATACATCACCACAAAGAGCTGAGCTTGCTGCAACCATATTAGTCCTCCAGAATTTTAACGAACCCCTCAACTTGACCCTAGACAGCCTACTCAAATAATCTCTACTATTCACGATTCTTATCTCTCTCCCGCTATTGATAAAAACCTTCTCTCTCTTTTTGTTACATTGCAACACCTTGTTGCACAGCGCCAGCATCCGCTCTTTGTAGCACACATTCGCAGCCACCAACCCTTCCCAGGAATCCTCCAGGAAGGCAATGATGTGGCTGATCAAGCGGCTGCAGGTATCATGACTTCACATACATTAAAGCTCTCATGAAACATTTCAACCTTACTATGGCTGAAGCTTCAGCCATTAGACAGCAATGCCCCACCTGTAGTCAACAAGCCCATTCCATTTCCTTAGAGGTAAATCCCCGCGGGTTGAAAGCCTGCGAAATATGGCAAATGGACGTTACTCAGTTTCCTCCGTTTGCCCCCTGGAAGTATCTGCATGTCACAATTGATACTTATTCAGGGTTCATAATGGCAACCCCGCAAAGAGGAGAAGCCTCCAAACATGTCATCAATCATTGCATTCGCACTTTTGCATCGTTGGGACGCCCAAATGAAATAAAAACAGATAATGGTCCAGCATACACTAGCACAGCTATGTCAGAATTTTGTGCTAAGTGGCAAATTACCCACAAATTTGGGATTCCTTATAATAGTCAAGGACAAGCCCTGGTAGAGAGAGCTAACCTAATGCTAAAAACAGCATTAGAACGACATTTGATCAAAGGGAAAAAAGCCCTTGGCCTCCCGGCGATGCAAGACACTCTTAATCTCTGTCTTTATACCCTCAACTTCCTCAATCTCTCCGGCACCCCTGCTATGACGGCAGCGGAGCAACATTTTTCCTCCCCCACTTCCCCTGATTCTCCCAAACCACAGGTATACTACCGCCAACTGCCAGACCCTACTTGGAAGGGCCCTGCTGGTCTCCTCACCTGGGGTCGTGGCTATGCAGCTATCCAGCTTCCAGATCATGTCCTGTGGGTTCCTGGATGGCACGTCAGACCATACCACCCCAAAGTAGAAAAATCACCACCTGCAGACATATCAACATGATTCGTCTCGTTGCCTTGCCGACCCTCTTCCTCCTTCTTGCTGCATATGCCTCCAAGGTTTCCATTCCATCTCGAGTGACGTACTTTACGCCAGGTACTCCCCTCCTGCTGACCTGCACTGCATCTGGGGACATTTTTCCCCCCTATCTCAGATGGTCGACACTCCCTCAGCCATGGCTCCACATCTCCAGCAATGCCTCTTTCCAGATCAACACCTTTGAACGCCCTCCTCGGACTACACTCCTCATACTTCGTCCTACTGCCACTGCCTATTATTGCTCTGGTCGACGCCTCTATGATTCCATACGTAACATTTATGACTCATGGACAGTCCTCAGACCCCGTTCACCCCATCGTCATCACAGACAATTCACGAATCAGCCTGACATTCATGCTCAGCCCCCCACCTTTCTACATCGGGTTAAGAGATCGCAGAATCCCACCAGCGTGTCAGATGGCTGCACCCCCTGCCTGACCAAAACCACACAAGCAGGCTTCATTCAACTAACTCTCATCTACCATACCCAACAACCGCAGAAGTGCCTTCCTACCAGAAAAACTTGCCAAAAAACCGGGACCATGTACCATCTATGCAAGATGAACTCAAAAACCATTTGCTACGATCCCAAGACGGCTGTTCATCTCAACGTTACCTTATGGGCGGGACTTCCAAGAACTTCTGGCAGATCTGATCCTGCCAGAAGGGGGAGGGGGAGGGAAAACTTTATTAACCTTTGATGTTTGTATTGCTTGTTCTAAACCAGGGGGGTATTCATGCGGGTCGGTTGACTGGAAAACAACATACGCCCACAATCATAAATATTTGTGTCCTACACCCATCAACTGGGCCATAGGGAACCCCAATCAATGGGTCCCTTGTGGAGGTTCCATCGAGTGCTTGGGTTGGTCTTGTGTCTGTGTTTATACTGGGGGAGGGTACTTGGGCTGCAATCATCTGTCACATTTCAAACAAATATCAGGGTCTACCACAGACAATAAGGTAGAAATCACCATCTCCAGACAACACCCTGCCTTGGATACTTATGGTATAGGGATTGATGGCACAGGATCGGATCCAAGCACTTACATTACCATAACAACCGAAATAATTTATGAAGGTAAGGAAACATCATTAGGTTGGTCGGTATACAATAATTTGAGGAAATTAGATACAGCCCCTGATACCAGTGTTATTGCATAAAACTTGTTCATGGATATGGCAGAAAAAATTGCAAAAGGTAGATGGAATAACTCCTACCAGATCTGGACAGCACCTGACAATGCTACCACCACACCTGCCAAATTCAACACCTCCCTCCTCCCCTATCTCAATGACACAACATCTTCCCAAATTTGGACAGCCCCAAATAACATGTATTGGATTTGTGGTAACCTAGCCTATCCGTCCCTTCCTGCAGATTTGCAAGGGTCATGTGTATTGGGGTGGAAAAGACCTTCCTTTTTCTTCCTACCGATCTCCATTAAGCAAGAACTAGGCATCCCTGTGTATGATACATTATCCCGCAGGAAAAGAAACACCGATAATGCCTTTGCAGGCTTCCCCTGTCAATCAGAATATACAGGGGATACCTGGACCTAACCCCCACATATATATGATTAATAGAATCATTCGTTTACAAGCTGTTTTAGATTTAGCTGGCCAACGAATAGATAAAGCTCTAAACACTCTAGCAACTGCTACAGACAAATTATGCACAGCTGTCTACCAAAATCGTTTAGCTTTAGATTACATGAGATGCGACAATTAACCTATAATCCTAATCAAGTATGGCAAGGTATTGATTTTAAAAATATTTTTAGTTCCTGGTTTCCAATACTATCAGGATTACAAGCTATAGTAGCTCTCATAGGTGTGATTGCTGCAGGATGCGTTATTCTTCCATGTGTGTTACCAATTTTTATTCGCACTATCTCCAATAGTCTATCCTTGTTAGCTGAAAAGCGTGCCATTGCACAGGTTAATGCCCTCTGGGAAAAGGAACCTCTGTACAAAGTCATACCCTCAGAAGACCCTGATGCGTGCGCTCGCACAGATTTTCGCATGGGCAGTGACGAAGATCCAGAAGAAATTTCTCTATAAAACTAAAACAGAGGAGATGCAGTAATAAATTAGCTTGTATAGTTTCGGTACATACCAGGCCTTAAGGCCTCAAGGCCTCACGTAGGCTGAAAGCGTACCAGGAACAGACAACATCAATCAACAAACACGTCATCATGGGCAAATAACTGGAATGTAAGCACTGATTTGCTATTTAGTACCTTTTAAACTGACCATGTAACTGACGTATCACTGTGTGTTTTTAATAAAAGAGCTTACCGAACTTGTGATCGGGGCAGCTCACCCAAGATAGAACCTGCGTTGGTGTCTTTCTTGATGCATTCGACCACCCAGTGAGAAGCCTTCCTAATGCGGAGCAAAGCCGCATGACAGAAATGTAAAAAAGCCAAACATTTTGAACACAATTACACACAATAATACAGAAGATTTTAAAAACTCATCTACGATTGAAAGCAGAGGCTTTTCTTGGGGATGGATAAGCAGCTGGGGGAAAAAAATCATGACACTTGTTTTTAAATAGTATATGATGACGACAACAAAACTACTAAATGCACAAAGGTGAAAAGATTTGACTTTACCTACAATGGAGGAGTGGATAGCGAAGACAATGGAATGTGTTGAGATGGCCAAATTGACTGCTTTAATTAGAGACAGAACACTGTCTCGATTTAATTATGATTGACTCTTTCTGGGAAACAGAAAACAGAAACTACACTAGTAACACTTCTCGTGAGGAACCTCTTTCCGGGCCATTTAAAGTTTGAAACCCCCGGTTTATTCTCTTCTCACAACCCTTAACAGCCGCCCCCCCCCTTGTCCCCCAAGGTCACACAAAAGCCTCTTGCCATCATTTCTGTTTATAACGGCGAGGCTGGGCAGGCGGAGAGCGGGGCGGAGACTTAACTCCAGGCTTATTTTCCTGCCTCTTTTAACGCAGTTCTTGCGCTAAGCGGTTAAGTTCCCTCGCCAGCCCTTGCCAGGAACAGGAGTCCCTGCCGCCTCCGGCCCAGCCTCTCGCAACGATGCGGGCTATTTGGTGCGCTCCGTCTTGCCTACTTTTCCTTCTCGGCTGCGCCGCGTCTCTGGAGGAGCCAGGCGCTGCCGCCGGCGGTTGCTCGCCCTGCGTCCCCGACGAGTGCCCGCCGCTGCCAGCCTGGGGTTGCCCGCTGGGCAAGGTGCGCGACAACTGCGGCTGCTGCTGGCGATGCGCTCGGGGCGAGGGAGAAGCGTGCGGGAGCGGAGTCTCGGGCGGAGTCACCGTCTTCTGGGGACGCTGCGCGACCGGCTTGGAGTGCCGCCGCCGAACCAAAAGCCGGGGAGCCACCGCCGTGTGCGTCTGCAAGAGCCGCTACCCGGTGTGCGGCTCCGACGGCCTCACCTACCCCAGCACTTGCCAGCTGCGGGCGGCCAACCTGCTCGCCAAGAGCCGAGGCGACCGCCCAGTCGAGCAGCGGAGCAAGGGGCCTTGCGAGCAAGGTAGGCAGAGCCGGGAGAAGGTGGCGCCTGCGCCCCAGGGATTAAAAGTGGGAAGAGGCGAGGTCGGGATGGGGGTCTTGGGTGGAGAACCCGCGGGACGGGGCTGTATTCCTAGGTGCTGCCCCGCTCGCCTTCGCTTGGATGTGTAAACCCATTGAATTCTCTGGGGTTGACTTCGGAGTAAGCGCACAAACAGGATATAGCGCCCATTGCGTAATTTCTGAAGAAGGCTGTCCAAGGATATGAAACATAGCAACCCAATTTTTTTTTAAAAAAAAGCAAGGTCCAACCAACTATTGATGGTTGTTTAACCTCACATAGGACGTAAAGAAAAAACCAGTTTGTGTTTGGATACGAGTTTACAGTAAGAATTAGGCCCCTTTGGATGGAGCTCAAGTTCGCCCTTGGCAAAAGTTGAGTCCCATAAATCAAAAGTTGATTTATCTGGTCTCTTCCATGTTGTTATTTCTAAGTTTGGTTCTCCTCTCTTGTCCTTTTTAAAACAAGTTCTGGTGTTGTTAAAACGTGTGATTTGGGGTAAGGAAACTTAAATAAATGTAAGCTTTGGCCGAAAGCTTAATTGTTTTAGAATTGATTCACATATTGAGTAAAACCTTGGTTAGGACTTTCTGTGGTGAGGCACAATTACATTGGCTGGCACTTCATAGATGAGTTTTTATGGATTAATTTAGAGCTGAGAGTATTGTGTTCTTTTATTATTTGTCTCCAGTGGTTCCTTGCATCTCTGCTAATCTGCACCAAGTTTAACCAAAACTGTGATTTCAATCCCTATAGTCCTAAACATCCTTATTTATAAGGGAATCCTAGGGATAATTTTGGCTGTTACATTATATTTCTTACCCTGCCTACTGGCAAATAGATTCAGCTGAATTTTAAATAATTTATTTCAAGGTAAACTGTAATACTTAGAGTACTGTAATATTTCACTACCAAACTTATTAATATCTTCACATCAAATTTTCAAGAAAAATTCTCAGGAAAGATCATTTTGGGATTAGAGGTATGGCTATAAAATAGATATCATTTTATGATCTTCACTGAAGAGGAAGAACAAATTGTGGTGCAACTAACAGGAATTAGGTATGGATACTTGGTAATTTAAACTTATGAGAACTACTGCAATGTTGAGGTAAACATTAGTAGGATTGTGGGTGTATGTTTGTCTTGAAAAAGTCACTGGCTAATATATCTTCAAGATGTGTCATTCTCAACCTTTTAGTGCCTATTTGATTTCCTATATTTCTGTTTTTTGGCTCATCCAGCAAATGTCTTTTTTCCCCACCTTTGTCTTACACATCAGGAATGTTAATATAAGCGTTGGAAGATTGTTATATCAAGTCTGCCTGATCTTACTATCTACAGTGCAAAAAAGGCATTCCAGATTAGATCTCAATACAAAGTGTTTCTCAAACCTTGGCAGCTTAAATAAATATTAGGAAGATGCAAAGAGCACTCAATTAAAGAAAACCTATCCTTACCTTTTATCTTTTAAGAGCATAAAAATTCACAATTTTGGTGATTAAAAATGATTATGGCTAACTTCTCATTACTTCCATTAAAAGGCCTTTTAAAACTTTTATAGCAAAGTAATTATTTCAAAATTTTGTATTTATTCACCATTTCCATTTTTATACATGTGGCATTATACCAATGCTTGACTGTTTTTCAAAAGATACCAACATTGAAATGAAAGGATTTATTGGCTGTTCTATAATGTTGAGTCTCACATACCAAGGAAAGAAAATGGGAGGACAGGACCACACAGGCTTGAGATATGCTTTAAACTTGCCAAAAGAAAAAATTCCAAAGAAGCAAAATACTCAGCTAAACCTCAGATGACCTCCAGACCCTACAGTAAGATAAAATATTTACAAATGTTGTTAGTGATTTAAGTCAAGTGTATGCTAAACAGGAAACCTTGTATTTGTGATGAATAATTTGAGGAACACCAAGTTAATTGGGGAAAAGGGCTTTAAGACTTGAGAAGATAGCAGAATCAGGTTTTCAAACTTATTATCATTTCCATATGTCAAAGTTGAATAGAAGAAACATAATAATAACAATCAGTCTATCTGATCATGCATACTATGAACCCCCATAAATCAAGATTGTGGTCAACTCCCAGGTGGTTTAAAAACTTTGTGATAAATATGGTAGCTGCTTTCTTGAGTTCACTGAACTCCTTCAGAAAGTTTAAAGTAACCAGTATTAATACCTTCATAAATAATCATTACTGTCTCTGGCTTCATCAACACTGATATAAAGAAATATTTATAGTAGCATTGGAGACAAAAAGGACATTTCCTTTCTCTTAATGACCACTCAAGGAGTTTCCAAAATACAATTTAATTTCCCTGTCTTATAAGGATGACCTTTTCACAGCACTTCTTGTTGCACAAAATGTGGCAACCGTCTGAAATAGAGTAATTTAAATCCTTCTCTTTGGCCAGAGAAGATTTTTTTAAAAAGAAATTAAAATATCTTTGTCTAGAAAAACATGCTCTGTAGATGTAGTTTCATCTGATGCATCAGCTGGTGATAATGGAGTTTCGGTAAATCTGTCCTGAAGAGAAAATTGAAGAAGGTTCTTTAAAGTGAATGGAAGAGAATTGATTGTCAGATTCTGGCTCTTTTCCTGGGCAGTCCTGCTTCTAAACTCAATGGTGCATTTAGCATATATCTCATTTTTTTAAGAAAGCGTTTTTAAGAAAACAAGATTATGCTTTCTTGCAGAGAGACTTGCCTTTACCAAATAATATGGTCGCTAATCCTCGCATCATTCTTGTGTATGTCACTGATTCTCTCTTCCCCCATAAACTATCAAGTCAATCATGCATTTTTTTTCATTCCCCTTCCATGTACACATAAAATAGATTTATGTACAAACCATGTAATAGAAATAGACTGTTTTCTAAGTAGATGCTCACCAAATATATTGCTATCTGTCCAATAGTTTTTTCTTTAACCTCTTACTTCATTTTCGTCTATCTGTTCTTTATAGAATAATTGCCTCCCTGCATAAAAATATTCATTTAGAACTCTACATAATTTATCCAAAAACTCAACCCTGTTTCATCATCATAATTTACTGAAACATAACATAAACTCTCACCGGCTAAAAATTCCTACAGCAAAGTACATTAGAATAATGAGCTGCAGATACTGATCTTTACTCTTATCAATGGCTTTCATATAAAAGTTGTTAGTAATATCAATTCAGTAATACTGAGAAGATACAGAATATTCCAGGCAAAAGGGAAAATTGGGTGATATATTTGACTATAATCACTCCACAGGTAGTCCTCACTTAACCAGAATTGGCAGCTCCAGACTTACAACATGAGTTTCTTGGTCATTAAGTTAACAACCCACAGTTGTTAAGCAAGACTTCACATGATCACAAATTGTGCTTTTACTGCCAGCTTCTCCATGGATTCTGCTTTTTGAAAACTGGCTGTGAAATGTGCAAATGACAGATATATGACTAGAGGATGCCCCACCGGTTGCAAAATGCCCAAATTTCAATCATTTGACTGTTGGGACACTGCAGGGATCATAAAATTACTTTTTTTAGCATATCGTAACTTCAAACGATTGCTAAACAAGGGCAATTATTAAGCAAGCACTATTTGCATAGCATTTCTATGGAGAGTAGAATTTTGGTCTCTGGCCAACTAGGACACTTGCCTAATTAAACTATAAAATGTTAATTAACATTTACTGCAATGTTTATAAGGCTGGGATCATGTTATACAATTTGTGGCTGCATGTGTTATAAACTTGTTAAAGTTCTACGTCTAAATGCTTTTAGGCCGTATGTTATAAGTACTCCATTGCACTATTCTTGGCAAGGGTACAGTAAGGTTCCTGAAGCTTTTAACAGTAAGATAGGGCTAGAAACAATTCCTTGGCATCCATAGCCATCCTGTGTAAGAGGCATGAAAAAATGCAGAAAAATTAGACCTTTCAGATGTTTTTAGGCTTAATTTACAGGGCTTTTCAAAATGTCTCCAAGCTTTTCTTGGCACTAAAAATTCCAGGACAAGTTGTCCTCTAAGTCCCGAAGATTGTTTTGAGTTTTTAAAGTGGAATGCAGATAGACTTATAAGGCAGAATTAGTCAACCAAAACAGTGTCAGTCTGTGCAAGTAAATAGCTCTCTCTTTCTCTCCTATCCCCACATTACAAAGTTTCTGCTAATTTTTTCCCTTTATCTGAATTTATTTTTATTTCTCATTCTGCTTATCTCTTCTTTCTTTCTTTCTTTCTTTCTTTCTTTCTTTCTTTCTTTCTTTC